GGAATCTTCCTTTAGCAGGCAAAAAAAAGTTGAACATATACGGAACTCCAAAACCTGGACAAAAATAAAACAATGGTCTTCAACTCACTTCATTTTGTGCTTTTGCATTGTGATCAATAATAGATTGTTTCATGATTTCTGTGTAAAACTACATAAAAGGCTATCTCCACACAGCTGTTCCTAATTCTGAACTGATAGACCAGAGGGAAGACAGCTAGTCAACAGCACCCACTGCCAACTCTTGGGTTTATTCTTACTGTTCACCCACGCCCCAAAGTGCAAAGCATGTTTTGGTGGCAACAGCTCGCAAACCATAAAGTCTCAAATTCACATTCCAAACATACTAGGCCAAACTTGGCCCTATAAAAAATAGAGCCTGGATAACACTTATTTAAATAACACAATCACGATTTACAAATTTTAAATATTCTTGTATTCTCTTCTTTTATGAAAAAGTTTTTTTTTCCTTTTTTTTTTTTTAAGGAAACTGACGAACAACCGTTGATTGAATTTAACATTTTTTTTACCTTATATAAATGAAAAAAAATGTGCATATCAAACCAAAATCCACAATACTACAAATATAAAAAGCTCTTTGTTTCATGATAAACGTTTCTTGCTTTACCTGGTCTCGATGTTCTAGAGCCTTTCTGACAGTCATGTCTAGATTGTTGTAGGTTTTCTCAGCTGCCAAGTTCTAAAAAAAAAAAATTGTATGAGTAAACTTGTTTTACCTTTCAACCCATTAACAGTTTGTTATTTTTTTTTCACACTTTTTAAAAAGTACCAAAATACAAGTTAAATGAGCACACAAATATAAAAACCTACACCTTTAAAGTCTGTGGTACAATCAATATATGACTGAAAACTGATCTAAACTCTTCACATATTTTAGAGAGGATAGTAAAAAATTAACTTAAAAAGTAATATCAAACTAAGTATAAAAAATAGTTCAAGTCCTTACAATAACATCAAACTTAGCATAAATGTCCACCACTTTGCCTTGTTCATTTACTATGGGCAAAGCCGAAACTCTCCTCTCTATGAATTGGTTGAGTACTGTAATCACAGGGGTGTCTTCTTTCGCCTTGGGAATAAAAAACACTATTTCAGAAAATTATAACACCACAATCTTGTAACTCAAAATTTTTATAAATATACTTTTTACATTCAAAATGTGTAAGATTCTCCTCATATCCTACACACTGTGAAATAATACAAAATAAACTTTTCAAAGACTAGATGCATTGCTCATACTTTGTTACAAAACGTTTGATAAACTTAATGTTGCTACGTTAGTGGTAATGTCTTGCAGAACGTTTAAACTAACGTAGCAACAGTAAGTTTACGATCTGTAAGACATTACCGATCTGTAAGACATTACCACTAACTAGCAACAGTAAGTTTATCAAACTATTGTAAAAAGTTCCCACTTTGAGTTCTTGCAGGGTCTGGTTGAGGTAACTTGGTTTTGGAAGATCAGAAAACTGAAAGATAAAAGAAAATTAAATATTTTATATGAATAACACTTATTGGAAATAACAAAAGAAAATTTTGTTCAAGCCAAACACTCTATCAAGTGAGAATTTACATAATTAAAGAAAATAAAATAACATTTACACTATTTTTTCAGTATTGTGTGTATCTTGTCAATAGCCTACTGATGTACTATGTTTTATTACTCTTCAAACCAAATGAATTTCTGAAAAAAAAACAATTATAGACTTGCTGCTGTAAGTAAATATGCACTCAAACCACAAACCTATTTCTTTCATCAGGTTTATAGAAAATAACTGCCATGGTGGCATCATCTTCTTTCATCGGTTATTGAGAATCTACTTAAGTGTAAGTCTCATAAACTTATAGAGGTCTAAGGTAAGAGTTAGGACCACTATATGACAGGTAATGTTTCAAGAGTTAGGTCAGCAATCATTAGGACCACTATATGACAGGTAATGTTTCAAGAGTTAGGTCAGCAATCATTAGGACCACTATATGACAGGTAATGTTTCAAGAGTTAGGACAGCAATCATTAGGACCACTA